TAACTTTACAGGAGGAAGCATATTCTGTGCCATGCATAGAAATCAAGTCTCCATGCCACCCTGTGGATACTCTGAAAACCACAATGGTGGGGGTTCTGATCCATTTTCTACATTTGGAATACTGAGAGCATTACAATCAATATTGTGGTGCCCACTGGCCTGGGGCTAAATTTAGAAGTTCAAGTGTGGATTTAAATGCTGCTTTCCAATCTTGCTGGCAGCGTTCTTCATTTTAGCCGGGGAAATCAGTAGGGGAGAGGAGATAAATAAGATGGGAAGGGCAGAAGTTGGTGAAAGCAAAAAAAGCAGAATAGTCTCATAGTTAGAACCACATAGTTCAGAAAGAGCCAAATAGAGACTTGGGTAGAATAGGCAGTAGAGAGAAACAGAGAGGGAAAAAAAAAATCTCATAAAGCTGGCAAAACACAAGGTCAAAAAAGGGCTATAGGATATCTTCCCTCCATATTGCGAAGAAAAGGCAATTTGAATCTGTAGGTCTACAATTCAAATATTCAGTTGTTTTTTAGTTTTTTTTGAGATCAAGTCTTGCCATAAAGTCCAGGCTGGTCAAATGTTTGATTACTACTATATGCATTGTACATTATTACACAGTATTAATATGCTTTGCAACATTTGTTTTCTTTGGCAGAACTGGGGTCTTGCATTTGCTAGGCAGGTGCTCTACGACTTGAGCCATACCGACAGCCCTTTTTGCTTTAGTTTCTTTTGGAATAGTGTCTTGAGTTTATGCCCTGGCTGACCTGACTATCAATCCTCTTTACCACTGGAGATGGGATGAAAGGCCTGAACCACCAAGCCCAGATTTTTATTGGTTGAGATGGGGTCTCCTTGTTTGCCCAGGTAGGCCTTGAACCAAGATCCAACTGATCTCTGTCTCCAGAGTAGCTAGGATTACAGATGTGAGCCCCAAGTGCCTGGCCCATTTTTTTCCCCATTTAATTACACAGAATAATTAAAAAAAAATCAATCAATCAGTCAATCTATCTATTCCAGCTGGGCATGGTGGTACATGCCTGTAATCTCAGGACTCAGGAGGCTGAAGCAGGAAGATCATGCTTGGAGGCCAGTTGGGGCTACATAGGGAGATCGTCTCAAAAACCAAGCAAGTGAGTTGATGAAGTAGCTCAAGTGATAAGTGCCTGCCTCGCAAGCATGAGGCCTAGAGTTCAAATGTCAGTGCCACAAACAAAACAAAAACTAAGTAAGCAAACAATGAAATATGCTCCAAAGTTGAGAAGTTGAGGGCTAATAAAATTAATAATTTCAGAACTGTGAATATAGCTCAGTGGTAGAGTGCATGCTTTGCATGTATGAGGCTGTGGGTCTGTGTTTGATAGAAAAAAAAAAAGAAAAAATTTGGGGCTGGGGGAGTGGCTGAAGTGGTAGAGCGTCTGTCTAGCAAGTGTGCTGGGATTACAGGTACTTGACACCATACTCGGTTTCCTGTTTTATATTTTATATATTCAAAAATAAACTTTTGTTGATGTTTTACTTTGAGATAGGATCACACCACGTAGCCCAGGCTGGCCTGGAACTCCCCATGTGGGCCATCAAAAAAAAAAAAAAAGTGTGTGTGTGTGTGTGTACATATATATATATATATATATATATGTAAAGTTAAATTCATTATATTGGAGGGATTCATAGAGACAATTCTGATTAGTCTTATATTGTACATTACTTACATTGCCCCCACCGTCTTTCCCCCCAACTCCCTCCCTGCCCCACCTAAAGCAATTGCAAGAGGTTTCTTAGTTCTGTTTCATATAGGCATATGATGTCCATCTACCATATATCATGTCACCTTAATCTCCTTCATTCACCCTCCTTACTCCCAGTAGTACCCCTCCACACACACTGTACCTATTTTACAGTCCTGTTTTTCGTTATTAATATCTGACTTCATGTTCAAAGAGGTGTCTCAATGTATGCCCACTGTGGGTATAGTTTACTTTGGTCTGTTCAAATGTGTTGGGTTTTTTCAAGATAGGGTCTCAGGAACTATTTGCCCAGATTGGCTTCGAACCACAATCCTCCTGATCTTTGCCTCATGAGTAGCTAGGATTATAAGCAAGAGCCACAGGCGCCTGGCCTATGTCAAGAGTTTTTCACAGAGATGAAAGGCTAGCTAACAGAGTGCTGTTTAAAATGTAAGCTTTAGATTCTGGAACAATCTTATATTCAGAGAATAGTCATAAAAGATAGTAGAGACTCTGGTATACTCGTTATTCAACTTCCACTAATGTTACCACGGTGCTCTGACAAAACTAAGAAATTAACATTGGTAGGGCACTATGAACAGAATTAGTCATTCAGGTAGTTACACATTCTTTTGGTTCTACAGTCCAACCCAGGATAACATGTTGCATTTAGCATGGTACTTTTTTTCACTTGAAGTAAGTCTTGAAGACTGTGTCTTATCAGGTAATAGACAGCTGTCTCATTTTCTGGAATGTTTATATAATTAATTCCTAGAAATAGAATTGCACAGTTAATGATTACATGCATTTAGAAGTTATCAAAGCCAGTTGGGGATATAGCTCTGTAGTAGACCATGTGCTTAGCATGCATAGACCCTGGGTTCAATGCCCCGTGTGGAAAAATTACTGAACCCCTTTCCCCCAAAAAAATTACTAGGCCCTTCTAACTGGTTCCCTGTGTTCTCAGTATTGAAAATTTCTTTGAAGTTTCATGATTAGGATCATGGACTAAATGAGAGTGTGATGAATTGTATTCAAAAAGTTTCTGTACACCTCAAAATAATGTTTTAAAAGTATTGACACAAATACATATAGCATGGCTGATTTACATTAAGGATAATTCACTGTACCATGATCTCTGCACCATATACAGCTGACTCCTTCTAGGACCACTAGGGGGCTCTACTAGAAGGATTTTAAAATTCATGTCAGTCCGCTTAGAGAAATATTTTGAGATGCTTTAGAATTCTTTTTTTTGGTGGGACTGGGGTTTGAACTCAGTGCTTTGTGCTTGCAAAGCAGGCACTCCACCGCTTGAGTTACACCTCTAGTACACTTTGCTCTTGTTATTTTGGAGATAGAGTCTTATGAAGTATTTGCCTGGGCTGGCTGGCCTCCTGATTTTAGCCTTCCAAGTAGCCAGGATTACACGTATGAGCCACTGGTGCCCAGAGGATTGGAATAAAAAAAAAAATCCTCTCTTGGTTCCTTGGGCGGGAGTTTAAGAAATTCTCTTTTGAGCCCCATTTGGTGGCCCACTCCTGTAATCCTAGCATTTGGGAGATTGATGCAGGAGGATGTTGAGCCAACCTGGCTTTTGGGAGAACTCCCAAAAAGAAAAAGAATTTCTCATTTGCTATGTGCCTCCATTGAATGACTCACTTCCAGTGGCTTGTCCCCTTTTTTTGCTGTCATAGTTTTAGTTACCTTTAAGACCACTAGGTCTTTTTTTTTTTTTTGAGACAAGGGCTCAGTATGTAGCCCAGGCCGGCCTTGAACTCACCACCCTCCTGCCTTAGCCTCCTAAATGCTAAGGTTACAGCTGTGCTACCACACCTGGTTTGTGATATTTTTCTAATAGGATAGTTTACTGATTGACAGGTAAAGGAAGGTGCATGAAGTATATACTTCTAAAATAATATCTTTATAAATTTCAGCCCCAAAACTATATTTCCTCTAAACCTTACTAACCAGTTCCAATTTGGAACTTACTTTTCAAACTTACTTTCCATTTAAAATATTTCACTCTTATCTTTAAAGTTTTTTTTTTTAATTTTTTTTTAACTCTTGTCTTTACTCAATATTTATGAGCGCCTACTAGCACCAGAGACCATTTAGGCCCAAGGCTTTACAGATAAAAGCTTCTCCCTTCTGGAACCAGTTCCACAAGGAGTTAGTGTTTTTCCAACTTTCACAGCCCTTCATTCGCAGTTCTCATAGTGTAGTCCTTGCACCTGGAGCAGCAGCAGCAGTGTTTCTTAGAAATACCGATTCTTAGGCCCAGGTGTCCAGCAATCTGTTTAACAAGCTCTCCAGAGATTCTGATGAACCTCAAGTTTGAGAATTGATGTTTTTTTAGCTCCAAGGCTGGGGGTTAATTATCTAAATAGGGTGAAGATCAGCCAGGTGCAGGTGATTCATGCCTGTAATTCTACTTGGGAGGCTGATATCCTGAGGATTGCCGTTTGAGGCCAGCCTGGGCAAATAGCTGGAGACCCTGTCTCCAAAACAACCAGAGCAAAGTGTACTGCAGGAGTGGCTGACGTGGTAGTGCTTTGCAAGAGGGAAGCCCTGAGTTCAAACTCCAGGCCTACCAAAAAGAAAGAACAGGTCAAAGATCGAATGTGGCCTCTCGACCCACCAGGGAACACTGTCTCAACATCTAACATGAATTGCCATCCTGAATAACCGGTAATACTAGGATGACCGAGTGATAGTGGCATGATCACGGCTCCAGGACAAAAGCGAGGGCGCCGCGGGTCTTCCGGGGCTGTCCCCGTCAGCGGTGGGCAGCACGGGGCTCTGGAGCTACACCCCGGGAGGCCCTGCGAGGTTCTGGGTCCAGCCCAGACCAGCCGGCGAGCGCCGTCACCTCCGCCCGAGGCCGGGGACTGGAGGCCCAGCGGAGTCACGCGGGTAGAAAGAAGGGCGGAGGGGCTGCACCACGCGGAAGCCGCACCCTCCCGGCGGCCCCTGACGCCAGCAGGGCGGAGCCACGCGTCCACAGCGCCCGCAGAGGCGCGCGGCTGAGGCGTCTGGCTACAACGGGAGCGGCTGCGCCGCCCGTCCGGGTCAACGTCGTGCGCATGCGCGGACCTGGCGCCATTTTGGTGGCCGGGCGCGGAGGTGATTCCACACTGAGGAGAGCGTGGCGGTACGGGTGGCAGTGGCAGCGTTCGGGTGCTCGGGTCTGAATCACCGAGGGAGGAGGCGGTGGAGGGAGAGGTGGCGGCGGCGGCGGCGGTGGTCGTAGCGGTGGCGGAGGAGGCGGGTACGAATCAGCTGCGGGCGGAGACATGGCCAACATCGCGGTGCAGCGAATCAAGCGGGAGTTCAAGGAGGTGCTGAAGAGCGAGGAGGTCAGAAATGAACTCCCGGAGTCTCCCCCCTCAGCCTCGGGCGGGAGGGTTTCCCATCCCACCCCACCCCCGGTGTCCCCGTGGAGAGCATTGGTCTCCTCTCCGTCTCCTCCTCCTCCTCCCGCCCGGGCCTGGGATGGACGGTCTCGCGGGCGGCGGCGGCGGCGGCGGCGGGCGTCTGCGGAGGAGCGGGGTTGGGCGGGCCGGGTGCGGGGAGCGCGGTGCGGGCGGGAGGACCCCGAGGCAGTGGAACGGCTGCGCTGGGCCGCGGGCAGGCGGGAGGGAGGGAGGAGCGGGCCGTGCCTGCCCGCGGAGACCGGGAGGTTGGGGGAAGGGGAGGCGGTAACTGGATCCTGGGGCCCTCACTTTTAAGGGTGTTCTGGGTGATTGCCGCTCGGGCCTGGCCTGCCCTGCCCTCGGGGAGCCGGCCGCTACAGGCCCGGGTGTGCACCGGGGGCGGGGGGACGCGCGGGTCGCCCTCGTAGTGAGTCGGGTGCGGGGAGACGTGGTGGGCCGTGTCTTATGGGGAGGGGGCGGTGAAGGCGTCTGCGCGGAGCTGGGACCTTCAGGCCAAATTACATCATTGTCTGCTTCCACCGACTCCCCAGTGTACGGCGGCTTGACTGGGTGTATGAAACACCTTCAAGTTGGAGGAAATAATGTCCAGTATCCGAGTAGCTTATTTCGAAATCTTGTTTACAAGTAACAGTCTCTCTCCTAAGACAATGCCTCTGTGACTTGGGTTGTGCTCTGAAACTTCATTGTGATGGCTCTCGAGTTAACTTTTAGAAATAGCCCTGTTAAATCAAGGGATTTCAAATAACAAATAACAACAAGTAACACTGTTGGGCCTCACTCTTAAGTGAGTGGGTTTAGCCTGACAGAAATACCACAGCACGTATTTTTTAAAGAACGGTCTCCTGTTTCTCTTGAGCTCTGCAGAATTTAGATAGCATTAGTGCTGGCCACATTATTTATGAGAAAGTCAGATGGTCTCATAATTTGATTCAAAATGATGTAAGTATTGGTACAGTTTTTCATGCTCAAGTCAACAAGAATACCAGGTTTTTTTTTCTGGTTGACTTTAACAAAAAGTAATAATGAAAATTATGATTTTCAAGAATCTCATACCATTAGTAAATAAGTGTATTTGCCCTTTGTATTTTATACTTAATTCTTTGATAATGTCAGAAATGTTTTGTGACATTCATGAGTTGACGTAAGTCTGATAGCATATAATCCTTATTTGTGCCACTGAGTCTGTAGTGACGATCTGTATTTCCAAACAGACATGGAGAAAATTATTTAAAAATTTAAAATGGCAAATATTAGTAGACTTACTGACTATAGTAGTATATGAGTAATGATCTGTTTTACAGAGCATGTGTATGAACTCTGACCTCTGTATGTGTTCATTTGCCAAAACTCTGAATGGAAGGATGACTTTGTATTTTTGTGGTACAGTGCAGAAATAGAGCATAAATGCCTGTGCATTGTAAGTGATTTTGACTTTCTGTTTAATAAGCAAATATATTCTAGGATAGTTAATAAATATTCCTAATGAAAGATTGCAGCTGATGTTCTTGCCAACAGCCTAAAATATTTCTTCTATAAAAAGGCTGTACAAGCCTGAAACTTAATAGACTTCTAATGTAAATTACTGCTCTGATAATCAGTATGGAGGCGACTTGTCACCACGGTATTAGTACTTAGTTTGAAGATTACCAGAAATTCTTGTATTGCTCCAGGAATGCATATTATTATACTACTATTTGTCAGTTTTTCAGAGGAAGAAAATAGGAAATGCAGGCAAGTTATTTCTTTTAAGAACAGTAAATCTGGGAGGAAACTTCTAGAGAAGTAAGTTGCAAAGAATATTTAGAAAAGGGTCAGATAATTTAATTTTGTAGTAAATGTAATCAGTAAATACCTTTATTTTCACCAGTATTTTATTTCGTTGATATCTTAGCCCATTTCTATAAGTAGATTGTTATTTTGAACTCATTGAAGGATTTGTAGGGCAGTCCATTATTTCTTTAAGTGTATAAATTTCATATTTTGAGTAGTTTGAATCAAGTAGTATTTCATAATGTCATCTTGGACTGGAGTTGTGGCTCATATGTCTACTTTGCAAGTGCTAAGTCCTGAGTTCAAACCTCAGTCCTACCTTAAAAAAACAAAACACTCATGTCACCTTGTGTAACTCTCCAGTTTATTAAAGTTTAATTTGTATGCTTATGTTTACTAAGAATATTGGTTGATTTTTAAGTGCCTTTGTGTTTTGTGGTACTGGGTTTTGAACTCAGGGCCTGAGCTACTCCACCAGCCTTTTTTTTCCCCGATAGTGTTTTGTTTTTTTTTGTAAAGATAGCTGATGTTTGCTTTCTGGTCATGGGGGTTATAAGTGGTCATTCTTATTTCATTCATTCATTGGTTTATTTTTGCAGTACTGGTGTGTCCTTTTGTTTTTGTTTTTTTAAATTTCACAGCTTGAGAGAAATGAGAATCTGTACTGGTGTTTGAACTCAGCGCCTCATGGTTGCTAGGCAGGCGCTTTAAAAGGATTTTACTTATTTTTGGAAAGTGGTCATTCTTAGTACATTAATTAAAATACAGTCTCCAAGATAAATGTGAGAAATGAGGCGCAGAAGCCAGGTGTGGTGGTACATATCTGTAATCCCAGCACTTGGGTGACTGAGGCAGGAGGATCCAGAGTTCCAGATCAGTTACATAGTGAGACTCCCCTCCGCCCCCCCAAAAAAAAGGAAAAAAAAAAAAAAAACCAGAATAGTGTGGAGGGCAACACTATTTGTGTTAAACAAGGAGAAATACGTCTATTTGCCAGTACAGGTGAAAGGATATCTGGGCACGGAGTATAGGCCTTTGAATTCTGAGTCATGTGAATGTTATTTACTCAAAATGAATGAAATAAAGGCACCATCTAGGCTACTTAAATAAGATGGTATTTGAAAATCAGTTTATCTGTCAGATATTCATTTTAAATATGACTGAATTTCAAGTAATGGTTCAGGCTTGCCAAGAATGGAAATTTGATTGTATAGTTATTTTATGAGTCAAGTCATACAGGTGAATTGTTTATTGAGAGGATGTAAAGTCATAATCTGCGTTTTATTCATGGCATTTGTTTATTTTTTTTCAGGTCTGGGGTTTGAACTCAGGGCCTACACCTTGAGCCTGTCTACCATTCCCTTTTTGTGATGGGTTGTTTTTTTTTGAGATAGGGTCTTACAAACACTTTTGCCTGCACTGGCTTTGAGCCGAAATCCTCCTGATCTTTGCCTCATCAGCAGCTAGGATTACAGATGTAAATCACTGGTGCTGGGCTTGATAGCTTGTATTTAGTACCAGGTTTTTTTTTTTTTTTTTTTTTTTTTGCAGTACTGGGGTTTGAACTCAGGGCTTTGTGCTTGCTAGTCAGGTGTGGCTCAAGTGGTAGAGGGTGTGTTTAGCAAGCACAAAGGCCTGAGTTCAAACCTCAGTGCTACAAAAAAAATTATAAATTTAATGCATTTGATCTAGATTATTCTATATAAAAGCAGTTGCAGATCTCTTGAAGAGTGTTTTGGTTTCTGTAGACTGATTTCTTTGGAACTGCTGACATTTTAGGCAGATAATTCTTTGTTGTGACTCCTGTACACTGTAAGATGTTAATTAGCATCTCAGACCACTAGCACTAGATGGTCATACTGCTGCCAAATACATCCTCCCACCACCAGTTGTATCAACTAAAAATGTCTATAGACTGTCAAATTTTTTTTAATTTTTAAATTTTTAATATTTTTTATGTGGTGGTACTGGGGATTGAATTTAGGGCCTTCATGCTTGCTAGGCAGACTCTCTAACACTTGAGGCACTCCACCAGTCCCACCCTCCAGGTTGCCAAATGTTGAGAACTACTGTGGTAGATAAAATTGTAGAAGAAAACATGTAAGACTGTTAAACTACATAAGATGTGTAGTATTTATCTAAAGGATGGACAAAGCACAGAAATATCTACTGGATTTGAATTTTTTTTATTTTTAGAATTTTAAAATACTTTATTTACTCACTTGGTGTGATTGAGGTTTGAACTCAGGGCTTTGAGCTTGCAAAGCAGGTGCTCTACGCTTGAGTCACACCTCCAACCCATTCTGCTCTGGTTATTTTGGAGATGACGGTCTTGAGAATTATTTGCCTACTCTGACCTTGAACCAAGATCCTCCAAATCTCAGCCTCCAAAGTAGCTAGGAATACAGGCATGGCACTGGCTGAGTTTTTTTTTTTTTTAATGCAATTATGTAAGCGACAGTTTGGAGTGAGTTATTTAAATAGTGTGCCTTATGGGGTTCTGGAGTGGATTGAGCACAGAAAGCTTACAGATGGGGTAAGCTTCTCAAGTAGTAGAAATGCCTGCCAAGGAAGCTTGGATACCTGAGTTCAAAACACAGGACTACCAAAAAAACAAAAAACATTTAAGCCTGTGCAAGTAATATTGTTGAATTATATTTCTTGCTTTACTTTATTAAAAAGATGGGTAGAGGCCTGTGAATGTATCTTAATAATTGAGTGCTTGCCTAACATGTAGGAAACCCTTGGTTCCATCCTTACCACCGGAAGGTAAAAAAAGACTTTTTGTCCATCGGGCATAGATTTATACACAACAAATGCTGGTTCCTTTAGCAAGTCACCCCTTGGTAAAGAATGCATGCTCTTACCGCCCAGGAAGCATTGTTGACAGGTATTGAATATACTGAGACCCCCCCCCCCCCCTGCCCAAGAGTGTTAGGGCAGAAAAAGAGTACATGAAAAGGCTAGATACTGGGCTGGAGAGTTGTAGTCAGTGATAAGAGTGCTTGCAAGTGATAGAGTGCTAGTAAGTGCGAGGCTATGGTTTTTAAATCTTCACTATAAAACCTAAAAAACTAGGTGCAGAGAATAAGTGCCATAGGAATTCTGAGGGTATGTGTATGAAGGGAAATTAACTTTTTATTTTTTTCTTG